CGACAAAACGAAAAACTTTCTTTTTCTCTTTTTCCACGACGGAAGGTCGTAATCAATAAATAAATAAATAAATAAAAACTGGCTAGAAATGTTTGAAACCAAAGGAGACAATCTGATTGAATGTGTGTTTACATTGAATTTTCTTCATTGAGCCGGAACTGAAAACATTGGCAGAACAATCGAAGAATCGAGAAGAAAAAAAGAAAATGAAATGAAAAACAGATTCTCGCGACGGAAGTTTTCTTTCTAACACTTTCCAGAAAAAATTTTAAAAAAAAGATGTAGGCGATGATTTCCTGTCTTATTTAAAGATGTCTCTAATCCAATCTTCTGGAGATTTCCTCTTCTGATGTTATCAAGTTTTCACAGAAGATTCAGGAAAAGGGTTGAAAATATTTCAGATAACGTGAACGAACATCAGTGGAATGATTAAGTGATTCCAGGAGTTATATGCATACCTATGAGGATCAGAATAAATTAGTGTAGACTAGTATATCAAAATCGTTCTTTTCAAATGGATAACTGATGAAGTATGTACTCGAGAAACGAGTACTACTTTGTAGTTATTCTTCAAGCTCAGAACGATTTTGGACGTGACGTCACTGTTCTTTGCTCTTTTGTATCCCATGCAACAGTAAGAATGCAATAATGTGCTCTTACAGATATTGCTTTTCATATGACTCACTTTCCCCCTTTCTTCTTTATCTTCCCACATCACTTTAATGTTAACTCCTCCCACTTTATTGTACTATATAAGCCCTCCGGGATTCTTATCTTTGTGTGTGGGTTCATATCCCAATAAACCATATAATCCAAAATAAAGTATGAGGAAAATCAAAAATAGAAAAGTCAAGTGCGCCATTAGCTGATTAAAAAAATCGAACGCAGATGATTAGTTAAATATGTCCAAATCATTATACAGTACTGGCCAAAAAGGTATTCGCAAACGATTTTTTGAGAGTAACTTTGCTGAAACTTAAGGGATCGATCTGAAAATTTTACTGTGCATGTCGTACACGGTGACGACAAATTGCGTACAAGGAAATTGCATCATTTTCAGAAATTTTTTGTTTTTTTTCAATTTTTTCAATTTTTTCGTTTTTTCACTTTTTTCATATTTTTATATTTTTGGATATTATGGTTTCTAAGAATGTGGTTTTGGCTCCTATGTATTTAAAACTGTTTACAGACATGGCCAGACCCCTCGGAAAAAAAAAACATCTCTCAGGACATCCGTAAAGCCATCGTCATCGGCTTCAGAAGTGGATGTTCCAAGGACCTCTTGGCGCAGCAGTTCAATGTTACTAAACGTGCCATCGAGAAGATCTTGAAGCAGTTTCGGGATGAGGTAATATTCGAAAATAGTATAGTTATGGAAAAAATGTTTAGGGAGCCTTGGTGGAGCGAAAATCGCCTGGAAGACCGCGTATCACGTCGAAGAACATGGATCGGAACATCGTCCGAGCTTCAAGAGAGGATCCCCAGAGGAGTTCTACGGACATTCAGATGGTCGTGAAGACTCCAAATGAAGTCACACCATCCCTGAGAACCGTCAGAAGACGTCTTCAAGATGCTGGACTCCATGGACGACGGCCAGCTAAGAAACCATCGATCAGCAAGAAGAACAGAATCGCCCGCGTAGCATGGGCCAGAGCTCATCTCCACTGGGGACGTCAGGATTGGGCTAATCACGTGTTCAGCGACGAATCCTAGTTCAATCTGTTCGGTACTGACGGTATCAAGTGGATTCGCCGTCCGGTTGGATGTCGGTTCGATCCCAGCTACCAGCTCCAAACCGTCAAGCATGGAGGTGGATCGGTGATGGTCTGGGGCTGCTTCTCTGGGACTTCAATCGGCCCGCTGAGAAGAATTACGGGCATCATGGATCGCTTTGTGTATGAAGACATCTTGGAGAACACAATGAGACCCTGGGCACGGTCTACTGTGGGCCGGGCGTTCGTTTTCCAACAGAATAACGACCCGAAGCACACCTCGAAGCACATCAAGGAGTGGTTCCGACGCCGCCACGTGGATCTTCTGTACTGGCCAAGTCAATCTCCGGACTTGAATCCGATCGAACACCTCTGGGAGCATGTCGAGAGACAGCTTAGAGGGATCCGTGCCTCGAATGCCAACCAGAAGTTCGACCAACTCCAAGATGTCTGGCAGGCCATCCCGATGTCTGTCATCGACACTTTTCTCGACTCGATGCCAAGAAGATGTCAGGCGGTAATCGACGCCAAAGGCTTCCCAACGAAGTACTAAAGCTATTTTATTCATTTTCTATTGTTATTTTTCGTTTACCGGTCTATCCTAGATCTCAGAAGTCAAAGTTCCATTTACCGGGTTTTTGCAATTTTCATGAATTTTTCGATTTTTTTTCCATTTTTTGAAATTTTGACTATTCTTGTTGTTGAATCAGTTTCTTTTACCGTTTTAAACTTTGTCTTAAAATATCAGATTGATCCGGGAAGTTTCAGAAAAGTTATGCTCGAAAAACTATTTGCGAATACCTTTTTGGCCAGTACTGTATAAGCGTTAGAGGAAAACAAAAATTCAAAAAGTTAGAAAAAAAAATCATATGTATCTGGATATCAACTGTCGAGGATGTGTTTCAGAATTTCACTCTGTAATTTGGAAGCTAACCACCATTACAGAAAGTACTCAATCATAACATATTACAGAAGTTTCTCCACCACTCGAGTATCAAGATTCAATTTGAATGGATCCTTTTTAATTTCATTAATGACCCGGAAAAGTATATTTAACAACACTATTTTTTTGCAAGTAAACTACAGCCGTAGGCTTATCCAATACCAGTATCGTATTTCGTCTACCAACGACTGAGTTAACCTGCGTTGGATGACAGAGTAATTTTCTAGAAAGTTGTTTTCTTTTTGGATTTTTGTTGTTGTAGTGCAAGCCTTTGCCCTGGCAGTCTAATGTTTTTTCATCCCTTGTTCAAAAGAAGACCATCCCATTTTTTCCGGACTCATGCTCTTTCCAATCTCTCTGGATCATTTCATTCAGTCTGGAATCAAATGCCCTTTCAAAAAATATGATATAAGACGGTTGAAATGTGAAAATTTTTTCGCATGTATAGAAACAGCTCGAATTGATGATTTCATGTACCATGTAGCCTTTATTTCAGTTTCACCAGATATCTGAATTTTCTGTACAAAAATTATGAATATTCCAGAAATTAGTCAAAGTTATAGAAAATGTTTATTTGATGGATCTGAAAATAATCTTGAACAAAAAAATAGGTGGACAAATTGAAATTGGACAGTGTAGTAGTAGTTTTCTCAAATCCAGGTGACAACCAATCTTCCTGCACTTTGAACTCCTTGTTGCTCTGTGCCTTCTTTTCTTCTACAGGTACAGAATCGGTTTATCTCCCGATTTTGTACTTTTTTAAAGGAAAAAGTGGTTACGCCAAATTCAAGTATTATTTGAATTGTACCACGAGGCACAAAATCAGTAGGCAAACCAATTCTGTATCTAGTGAAACAATTCAAATTTTCTCTGATTTCACGTGTCTTTTTGTGAATTTTGAAACATTACTCATGAAATCCGATTTTGAACCAATTTTTTGATCGACACTAACTTTCTACAATACGCTTATTTGGGTGAGAGTGATATCTGAAATTTAGGATATTTTGAGGCTAATCCGACGTTAACAGTAAGTATATACCCGACCCGAATTCTTTCTCATTTTTTGATGGTACTTATTGTTAACATCGGATTTACTGTTGGATAGCGGATTGGTCTCACCCAAATAAGCGTATTGTGGAAAGTTAGTGTCGATCAAAAAATTGGTTCAAAATCGGATTTCATGAGTAATGTTTCAAAATCCACAAAAAGACACGTGAAATCAGAGAAAATTTGAATTGATTCACTAGGTACAGAATCGGTTTGCCTACTGATTTTGTGCCTCGTGGTACAATTCAAATAATACTTGAATTTGGCGTGACCACTTTTTCCTTTAAAAAAGTACAAAATCGGGAGACAAACCGATTCTGTACCTGTAGAGGAAAAGAAGGCACAGAGCAACGAAAAGTTCAAAATGCAGGAAGATTGGTTGTCACCTGGATTTGAGAATACTACTACTACACTGTCCAATTTCAATTTGTCCACCTATTTTTTTGTTCAAGATTATTTTCAGATCCATCAAATAAACGTTTTCTATAACTTTGACTAATTTCTGGAATATTCATACAGAAAATTTCTGAATAATAAAAAGGCAAGACGAAACTGGACGAAATTTGTCGAAAGACAAACTTTTCGAAAAACTTTTGTTTTTTCTATTAACTCTGTTCTTTTTGTACATAAAATTTGAGAAATTCCGGTTTTCAGAAATGAGAAAAAATTCTTCTAATTTCTAACGTCTTATATGATAACTTGACTAACGTTTCCCACACTAAACCCTCCTTGATCACTGAATATCTTATACTGATCACGGCACAAGGCTTGTACCCGTTCCCACAAACACGTCAACCAGATGAGAAATCTTTGAAATATTTCTCAAGTAATCAGAAATCTAAATCTGAGCCCTCGAGACAAAAGAGAATCAATGCTTAGGATCCACAGAGAGAAATTGAATTGAGGAAGCGTTTTTTTTTGAATGTCAACTTAATTCGATTGGGCCCACACATGGTTTTAAACGAGAACTTTTTTCTAAACTTGTGAAATTTCGTTACTTCCGTTTCCCTTTAGAAAATGTCACTCACGATCCCTGGAGCTCGGGTCTGTAACTTATTTCTCCCACGCTACTCACGAGTTTTGCTGTATAAAAGCCAACGAGATTTTCTCGTTTTCAGCGAAAAGAAGCAGTCAGTCAGCGGAGCACACACCTACCTCACTTCCTTAATTAACTACTTCACTTTTTCTTGTTATGGTTCTCTAATCAAGAAAAAATACTAGAATAATAAGAGACAACTCCTAATTTCCGTCTTTTTTCAGTTATCCTAACATTAAAAACGCTCAGAAAGGTGTCTAAAATGATGCAAACCTGTGAGGATCCATTGGAGCTTAAGAAGATTTTGGCTCCGTACTTTGAAGGTTTCAATCGTACCACTGAGGTTGCTGATGCTGAAGGATCCATGAAATTCATGCATCCACAGGGAGTTATTGTCCAGAGAGACACTACGTCGATTTTTGGAAAGGAAGGTAGGTTTATGGCTTTCTTATCTTTCTCTATCGGAGGCAAAAACGCCCACAATGTTGCCAAATTTCGAATATTCTTATCAATTGGGAATTCATTTCCGTTTTTTCAGCGCTCACCGATCTCTTCAAAAGATGGTATGACTTCACCGGACCGTACTACTTTAACGTGAGTTGAGATGATAGAGGAAATATAAGTTACGACTAACTCACGAGATGGGAGCAGGCGTGAAAAGAGGAATTTGGAAGTTATAAAAAAACCAATAGTGGAGAATTAATTTTAGCGCTACAACGAGAAATACAGTGGAGGAGGTGACTATATTGTCGTCGAAGCCAAAATGGAACTCGAGAAAGTCGGCGGAAACGAGGTTTTCCTTCGTGGAGATGTGATGCACATCTGGAAGAAAGAGCAAGACAAATGGCTCATGTTCTACGAGCAATACCACGTTGAAAACTGAAACTGGAAGCAAAGATGATACGTGATTTCACATGACACTTTTTTCTTATCTCTGTCTCCTCTTTTTGATATCAAGTACTCATGAATTTTGATCAATGAATAAATGTATTTATTGTATTAAACTGTGTTCTGATTGAATTCAAATACCAAACTTCACAATTTTAGTCAATATTTATTATTTAGTTTCCGATTTATTTCAGCATGGCGATCCATAGATATTGTGAGGTATCATCATCTGGAATACCATTTTTCTTTCACTTCAGAATGTTTCAGATGGATGGGCCGTAAAATGATTTATTCCGGGTTGTGAGGGCAACAAAATGGGGAGTAAGAGTAACAAAAATTCATTCAAGGGTCATATTACGGTAGTCGGTTAGGATTACTGTCGGCGGGTTCTTACTTACTTTTGGTTGTGGTGGACGATAGGCATGATACACAAAATCTGGTTCATGTTCTTTGTGGCGGATGTGTTGAATCTAAAAAACAAAAAGGGCATACAAAGAACATATATCCGCAATCATTATTACCTTTCTGAAAATGAAGAGTATTGAGATGCAGCCGAAGAAAAATATCATAAGAGTCAAGGTGATCAACAAGATAGTCTCATTGAATTGGCTCGTATTTGATATTGGTTCCTCGGACAAAGATGACGTATTCATGTGACTGTTTGTGATAAAGTTGACTGGAAGTTTACAACAACCTTTCTCGCAACAACCAGAAGCCAAAGGACATGAGATGGTCACCGTCAAATCGTCTCCGTTGTGATTCGCGTCGTACACACACAGGTGTGCAGAGCCTGAAAACTATATTGTTCAGAAAAAAAATCAACAACATCTGAGAAGCATAATCATGAATAAATAAGTTCGGTACTTATAGCAGCAAAACCCACCATCAACTGTAGAAGACAGCAATCGTTTGATGGTCAAGGAAACGACCATTCAGGTATCTAGAAAGAAGAAGAGCTTAGTAAATGACGAGAAAGTCTTTTGGGGAATCGAAGTGTGAAGACAAAGAAGACAAATGACCTAAAAGATATCCAAATCCTCCCCTTGTTTGCCGAGCGTTTTCACGATTTGTTCGCATTTCGCACATGTGTCATTTGATCGCACGAATGAATTTATGTACATTTGGAAACAAAACAAGAGTCCATTTTTTCCTCATTTTGGTAAGTTTTGAGAAAAAGCTACGAAAAAAAAGGGAGCAAGAGAAAACGAAAGTTGGTTGAAATGAAAACCGAGGGAAATATAAAACGAATGAGCATGAATAGGTGGTCATATAGGGCACGACTGTATTTGTATAGTGCTTTTGAATAAGAAAATGAATAAAAGTGATCCGGTTAGCTGGAAGAATTGACCTGGAAAGTACAACTTCAGCTAGAGACCCACTTCAGTCGAAAGAGAACAAACTATGGAAAAGTTGGAAGAAAACGTTTTACACTAGTCTGACTGTGATCGGAAGGTTTTCTGAAGAAAACAATAAAGGATGATACGAGTCGCTAGTAATTCCGAAAAAGTATAACTTTCTACTAATTTCTGGGGTTATTCAGGTTCTGCAATAATAATAATAATAATAATAATAATAATAATAATAATAAACTCCGCGAGAACTTGGAGACCAAAAATATCCGGCTGAAACTTTTGAGAAAGCTGGAGAAAAACATAAGGAACATATTGCCTAAATTTAAGGTCAGAATACACCCTTCCACAAATTTGGCTTGGATTTCAAATTATTTTCAAAATATTCCAGAAATATTTCCAACAACAACATAACTGCAGCTTTGCTCATGCACAGAAGGAGCTAGAAGGTGTATAATTCGAAAAAAATAGAAAATGCTGGAAAACAAATTGATACTGAATTAACCGCTCAATCCTAATTAATGGACCACGAAGGATGCTAGGAAAAGGTAAAAGAATTGTAAAATGGTGAACTTGATAATTACTATTTTTACAGGTGCGCTTCAGTTCATATTAAAAATTTTGAAAGTTGGAAAAGAATATGCCACTGCCCAAAAGTGGGGTCATTTTGTTCATAATTGTTCGGTTTACGAAGGATTGAGATGATAACATGATAAACGCACAATAGAAGCACCATTGTTTCCCACAACCCACTTTATCAAATACCAAACACGGAGCAGTTTCTCATCTCAATAAATGGATAAAACAATCTCTGCCCTTAGATCTCAATGGCAAAGATGTTCGAGGATAAAATCCGTTCAATCTAATGAACAGAGCAAACATTATATCTCTTTTTGTTTTGTTATTTCCTCCTCTCCCGAACATTTCCGATCCAGCTTGATGGGTCACTTTCTCGTCTCTCTGTATTTTGATCGCACCCGGAATAGATGCATTTTTTTTATTTCTCAGGAGAACTCTTTTTCTGTTGTCTGCTGCTTCTGAAATACTTACACTTTAAGAAATCCTCGAAACAAAACTTTGAATAAAAATTCCAGCTATATGATTTGTCTACGATATTGTCTAGTACCAATTTTCTGCATGTATCAATCTTTCGGATCGTGTCATGAGAACCAAAAGTGTTGATACACAAACATATTTGGTTAATTCCTCTCTTGGCTTAGTACTGGTGACTATCCCCGGTTCACTTTTGATATATGCACAAATACGAGTTTATGGGCATACACATTCGCCGCATTTAGCCTCCACATTGTGCATTTTTATTGATTTCGAAATTGTGGCCTACCATTCAAAATCCAAATTACCAGACCACTAGACAAAGACTCAGGTCGCTTTTGATTAATCTCAACTGTCAATACAATTTGGCTTTGCTTTCTTCAAAAATTGACCACCAACACAACACGAGTTTCACTCCTTTTTGTGTGAAGAAGAGAGAACACGGAACTGCTTTTGAAATGAGCATTTTAGGTGGTACTCTCTGTGAGTTTCTATTGTTAAGTTTATTGGTCAACAACTTGTTCTAACTTATTTTCTCAAGTGGTCAGATGTCTTTCCTTTTCTCTTCCTGCTATTGTGGGGTACGTTCCCTTTTAATTGTCATAAATTCTTTTTTTCGATAATACTCTCTGTATTCGCTGTCATTTCAAGTGAAGCAGTTAGAAAACGTTGACCCGATTTTTTCGATAAGCATTATGCCCAAGATTTCACAAGGAACGGTCAGAAATCGCGATCCAGGTAACTTTTAGGCCAGGCAAAGTTTTATAAATTTAAAGTAGACGTGGATTTGACCTGCCTTCGCTGGGGCGCAATTTCTGACCAGGCCTTTTGGAATTCTGGGAATAAGTTGTAGTGTCCAAAAAGATTCTGAATTTTCAAAAAAAATTATGGACGTTCTCAATATCTTAAGTATGATCAAAGTTGTCTTGTCAGACTGACTAAATTGCTCTAAAATGCCTTGTGATCTTCATGGATGTTAAATCAATGTTCTTCCTCATCCTATTGCCCTTTCTCTTCTTCATTTCAAAACAACACAGACCTATCCAAACAAATTGAGCTCCGACCCGTCGGTTGCTCTTTTTTGCGGCCGTCTGTCCATGATCCCTTGTCGCCCCAAACCAACCCAAAAAAATCGAATGAGGCATGGGCCGGAATTTCGAAAAGAAACGCGATGGAATTGACATATTTCTTTCGATTCTTTTTTACAGGATCTTTTTTGCATTGAACTCATTCATTTTTTTTGGTCTTGTCGTTGGGGTTATTTCAAGTTGGCTCGACCGCCTGTGTTCACAGTTTTCAAGAGCTTTTTTGAGAGTAATCACGATTTTATTGAACCGATTTGAAAAGAAATAGTGGAGGTGAAGGAGTATCTACTCTTATATGAACTGTGTCAATATATAGACTATGAATGAGAGGGTTTCGCACCACCAAAGGTGGTCTAGATATTCCTCTTTTAAAACAGTTGAACCTATAATTCTTGCATTTTTTACTCAGCTGTAGTTTCGTTTTTCAAAATTTTCAGTTTTGTTAACCACTAATTTCTATGAAATATCATTTTTTAAATGCAACAATTCTGTCTTCTCAAAAATTATTTGATGAATCCAGAAAAAATACCTTAATTCGCCATTTTCATTTGTTTTCTACCAGCTCACTTCAGTTTCAAAAGTTTATCAGCATTTGAACTATGTAATACTGTTTGCTTTAAAAAAGCTCACCTCTTTGAATATTTTTTTAGCTTTCCTTTCAATACAATATTTTTTTTAGCTTTCCTTTCAATAGAGTTATTAAAGATTTTATCACCCTTAAGCATGTCTTCAAACTTTATTATCATTGCTTGTTTTCATTTTAATAAAGCTTTCTTTTTCACAATATTCTGATCATACTTTTGCCGGTTTTGAATTGCCATTTCATATATACCTTAAAACCTATAATATAACACTGGCAATTTTAAGCTCAATTATCTCAAACAGGAATCGAGATAGTTAAGCTTGAAATAACGGTATGATTTTTCAAATAAATATTTTATCAGATGTTCTGTAACACCATCAGGTTCTTCTCATTTCCCGTTTCACTCAAAGTTTTTATTTTCAGGTCTCGATAGCTACCAACGAAACAAATTCCTAGTCCTATTATCAACTTCGTCCTGTTTATTTCGATCAGGTAAGTTTCCGTTTTCTTCTATAATTTTCCACATCAATGAAAAACTGCAAACCTCTCGATCGTTAGCTACTTTTTTTTAAAAATCAACACGTTCTTCTTCTCCTACTACTTTTTTCGAATATTCTCTCACTGGTTAAGAAGAACCAGTTTGTTAGTAAGTGTTTGCTCATGGTGCATTTCTCACCGGCAAAGATTTCCTTCCGCGCCGAAAAGTCGTTCAGTCTCAGACTGTCTTACTTACTCCCGGCAGGCTTGCAAACGCTTTACTATGCCCTCTTTTCACTGATTTGTGTTCAAAAGTTCTTGTTCAAAAGTGTCTAACTTTAAAAAAATTAATTAGAAACTTCAGTTATTTCTTCTATCCAATAAAAAAAAAGTTTATAAAGTATTGCTTTGGCCTAATTGAAATTGGGGATTGGTTATAAACACTAGCAAGTTTAGAGATTTCCATACTATGGTTCGAAAAATTTATCAGAATATTCTAAATTTTCGATTTTTAAAAAATCATCTTTACAGTTAGAAAAGGAGAATTACCATCTGGCGCACACTCGAGTTTGTACTATCACAATATTTGGGCAAAGAGTTGTACTGGGCTTAAATTCGGAACACAAAAATTTAATACTTCATCAGTAAACTGGAAAGTTTCAAATTATTTCATCAAATTTTAGCTGAATTGTCACTGGTCAAAGTTGCTTCATCATGAAAATCACACTATGCAAAACATTTTTCGTTTCATCTTTGGATTATCATAACAATACCTAGAAAGTTTGAAAACTTCAGTAACTTTGTATCCAACGTAAAGTTATATTTCTACCAATTTTCGTGTATCCAAGATACTTAGGTCTAAAGATATATCGGTTTTTATCAGTCCGGATAATTGTGCGCCACCCTGTATGTAGTTCGAATTGAGTTACTTTAGTACTTTCTGTCGCGATATTAGTAACTACCAATCAATCTAATTCGGTTCCAAGTGAAACATAAACTTGTGCAGTGCTCTTCGGCAAAAAGAAGAATGAGCTTAGACAGTCTTTTCTGCGCCCCCTCAATTTTTGTTCACTCTCTGGTATTCACCTTTCTCACCTTCTCTTTCTCTATTCCGTTCCATTGTTGAAGATTCGGCCCCACTCAAGAGCAAGCAACTCGTCCAGGCGTTGCGCCCGCGGAAAGATTCCGCAATGTGCATTTTGGAATTCACTTTTTGTTCTTTTTCTTATTTATGCCATTGATTTATCGATTAGTCATTGTTAGGTTCCATTTAGACATAGGATCTAAATCTCAATTAATAATAATTACTATCCTACTAAAATTGTACATAACAATCAGGCTTCTGTCCGTAATGGCTCCACCTTTATTGACACGACGTTTTGACAACTAGTCAAATATCAAAAGGGTAGAGAGATAGATCGAAAAGGCGGTGGTTGATTCATAGATGTGGAAAATACAGATACCTCTCTCAGGTTATACACCCTCTTTTTCAGTACATTTCCCAGCAAGTTTCTTCAAAATTTCATCCCAACTATACGGATCTCGGGGCAACCGGTGGGACGGTTTGCCATCGAGCAATGGAGCACAGACCAATCCCACTCTTTTTGCGTATGATTTCTCTTGTTATTTCTCTTTTTTTAATTCATTTTTGAGCTTCCTCTCAATTTTTTATTTACAGTCAGAACGCAGCACTTGGTCCAGAACTAGTAATGTCATCGTCTTCAAATAGTAATGTTGCGCAACTCCAACAAATGGGGCAAGTGGCTGGAACTGGACCAGATGAGGTCTTTCAGCATGGAACTATTGGGAAATTCATCAGAATGGAGTTGGAAGGTGAGTTGAGGAAAAGAGAGCATAAATGAGATGAGCAAATAACGAATAAGAGAAAAATGCGCATGTTCATGTGCATTTGTGCAAATAACATGGTTGGAGATCTAGGTCTGACGCAGAGAGGAACATGCTTTTCCTTCTTTAAATGATGATGATTAAGTGGAAAAATGTGTCATAATTAGAATTTTTTTATTTTTCTAACGAATTCCAGGTGGCTTCTCCTCATTCGTCCGATGCATCTACGAAGCGAAACGAACCAACAACAATACAGTAACTCTGGTTTGTGAACGAGATCAAGAGTGCTGTGAACATGGATGTTGTCCAAAAGATCAGCATTGGATGGCTGGAGTTTACGTTCTTTTGGCTTTCGTGCTTCTCGTTTTCGTTGTTGGAACTTGCTTGATGATTTGCTGTTATCAGAGATCCAAGAACCGTCAACGAAAGGAAGAGTTGGAAGCTGCTGAATACAGAAACGCGGGATACGCTCCGTCTCAGGTGAGTCATCTCAGGTGGGTCTTCTAACAAAATTTCTTTTATTACAGGTCGGAGGAGGTGCCTACTCATCGTATGGTGGCCCAACCTATTAGTGAAAATTCCTCAAAATCTGATGATCCATTCTCAATATTTATGTCTCTCCTGATATCTGTATATACCTATCTTCCTCGTAAACTATTTTAATCTATGAATCCATTTTCCCTTTCGCTTTTCTACTTTTTTGCTCAACTACCGCCTGATTCAAAAGTTTGAATTCTTTGAATCATCTTTTTTTGTTCCTGCAATTCGAATGAATCGTTTCGCTTTTTATGAGTATGTATATGTCATTGTTGACTGCCATTCACCAGAGGCAGTTAATCCGAAAATTGTGGGGCAAAGTCATGGCCAAGTTGACCTTGTTGGAAACGATATTATACAAAAGGCTTATTCTGCTTTTCTCAAAAAGCTTGATTTCCATGAGTACTCGAGACTGATTCTAGTATTATTTTTATGTCGTTAAACTGTTTTTCTCTGTTTTCTTTTGGAATTTTTCGTACTTGAAAATCATGGCCCGGAAATTTCTAGGATCCAGCCCAGTGAACCCGATTGTTAACATTTAAAAAAATTTCTGAAATTTCTGCAATTTTTTCGGATTTTTTGGAAAATATACTCAATGACAATCCATTTTCGCAAGTTTTTTTATCTAGCAGAAATTTGTTTTTTTTTTTGCTTGACCTCAAAAATTTTTTGAAAAAAAAACCGAAAAAATTACTAGAAACCAGGGCCGCAACAGGCAATTCAAATATGGAATTTTCTATCAGAAAGAAATCGGAACGTTTTTCACTAATTGGTAAATTTGATGTTTCAATTACCAGTTTCCATTTGTAGGTTTTAGTTGCAAATCACTCAAACAAAAAAAAAATCAAATTCCCCATAGAACCTGAAAACTGCAATATAAAACTTTCAATAATAGTGAACACACCACCAACCCTCTCCGTTTGCCGAATTGTTCAGTTTGCGTAATCCGTAATCCTACTCTCGACCATTAATTTTAGTATTTCTAGTCATTTGTTTTCATTTTTTCATTTTTCAGATTGACTATTTGCAATGACAAAATGTTTACATTCGATTCTTAAAATGATGTCAGTTTTTCTACTGTTATCAATCGTCTACAGTGCAGTGATACATCCAAGGATACAAGAAGTGAAAAAATGGAATTTTAATTTGTAAATTTTATTTGAACTTCTTCAGGACGGAACAACTAGTACATCTGTACCATGGAGTTCCCAAAAGGATTCGTCTAGAGAAAGAGTTCGAAGACAGTATCCGTATGGAATGGGTAATTATGGTTACAATGGAATGTATGGTGGTTATGGTGGATATTCTCCGGTGAGATTTGCATGGTTCGAACGTATCCAGTTAATCAGGAATGTTCGAAATGACTTTTTCGGAAATTTTCAGAAATTAGTAAATACTAGGTTTCAAAATTCCCGATCTTCTGAACTTCGGAACATTCCGATTTTTAAAGTATCGGAATCTCGAAATATTCGGAATTTTTTAAATTTCAAATTTTTGGAGTAGAAACTTTACTTTCATATCATAAAAGCGCAAAAAATTAGAGGAAAACATTGACAAACAGGTTTTGAAAACGCAGAAAATATCAAAAGTAATTCTAGACCCGCAAAAAACTTTTCGTGTTCGCCTTTGACATACAGTAGTCCATAAACCTTTATACCAAAAAAAAAACACCGGAATTTGATTCCGAAAAAATCTTCTGAAATTTTGCAGTCGGAATTATCGGCATTCGGAATTCCGTTCCAAACATTAACACAGTTAATCTTAAATTTACTTTTTGATTGTTAATTTTCAGTACAATTACGCTGGCTATACTGGCTACCAATATCCATTTACAAATGGAATTTTCCCGCTACAAGGCGGCTACTATCCGGGAAGTATAGTCGGATCTGGATCCATTTGGGCTGCTGGAGGTGGTCTAGTTGGTAACATGCTTTCTTTTCTTATTGGTTAAATTTGTATAGTCTGGTATATAGTACACACCTTCTATTTTTTACGAATAAAGGCTTTTCCACCTTTCTTTTTTTGCAACCCGTCAATCATTCCTTCTAGACGTTGGGCTCTTTTTACTCTCCCAATTGTTGTCCCTTTCCCATTTTTTCTCCACCATTCCTCGTTCTTTTTTTTCTTGCATCCATTTTCTAATTTTCTAGGTTTCGATCGAAACCTCTCATAAAAAGTATTTTGCAACTATCCATTTTCATATATCCTCGGAAAGTGCCACAGACGAATTTTTAATGAAAAAAGCTGCAGAACGAAACGGAGGGTTTGCTTTCGTTTTTTATTAGTTTCATTATATGATTTACGTCAGAACCTTCAGTTTTTCAAATAATTGTTTATGTAAAACTCATCCATCGTATCTGTTGCTAAATGAATCTGACAACTTCTCGATTTGACATAAAAGAGCACAGAACATTAATCTATGAATGTGTCTTCTGACTGACATACATTCAAATAATGAGGTTACTTTTTCGTCTTCTTAATGTCAAATAGATGGTTGTTTGATATCCTGAAGATCACAAAGTTCAGAAGATTCTGTTGTCAACATGTGTCGTCTATGTGACTTTTTAGAATTAATCTGGTTTCACATGTCAACAAAGAAGATCCCACGGACTGCGATGTCTTCTGGATTTTTTTTCTCACGAGATCCTAGAAACTCGTATATTTTTCAGAATTCCACGATAACTGAGAATTGTATTTTCTCCATAATTACAAGTCCGAGAATGCAATATTTCCACATGCAGGCCCGGCCCGGGTCTTCGAAGGCAAACTTTTGAAAGAGATTTTTTTTGAGAAAAAAATTATTGGTATTATTGGTAGTTGTTTATCAATTACTTTGCTTTCATGGATTGAGATATTTTAAGAAGGGAGCTAGGCTAAATTTTCCAAAACTTTGAAATGACCATTTTACAAAAATGTGTTCAACATCAACAGGAAAAAAGCACCCGCGCCAGGCCAGGGTCAGCCGGCCCGGAATGTTGATGATATGACGAAATTATCTGGCTTCTTTCAAACCGAAGCCTCTTTTTTCACAGAGTTCGAAATTTTTCTAGAATTGATCAAAGTTCTTGGATCCTGTCCAAACTGCTTACTCATTTCCACCCACTTTTCTTTCAATGGCCTGAAGGCGTTTGACCTTCTTGGCGCTCCTTTTTTTCATCTTTCATTCCTTCTTCCAATTCCAATTTCTCATCAAGCTTCCTATCGGAAATTAAACTCTTCCATTCCTCCCCATCTACCGTAATCCATTATTCCATCCTCTTCTTTCCTTTCTTTTTTTGCTCATTCTTCTGACGGCTTTTCCCTTTCTTGTTCTTTAACATTTTCTTGTACCTATTCATCATTTTGTCAAGTAAGTACGCAGAGGATTTGTTCGTTTCACTTTTTATCTAGTCATCTGTTTTTTTTTCCTTTCCTACTTTTCCTATCCTTTTCTTTGCTTCTTCTTCGTTTATTCAAATTCCAAACATCGTGTTTTTTGAATACCTATCTGATTAGGACGAATGCTTTCATCCTGGTTACATTCGACATTGTGGAGACATGTGAATTCAATTTGTCTGAAAAGCTCAAAAGTCTTCTCAAACTCAGTTTCATTCACAGGAAAACAACCGGATTAATTCTTCCTCTGAAAGCAGTTTCGATGTCTTCTGTTTTCGTGTTTTCAGCCGGCCACTCTACTTGAAATTTTGAAGTGTCTTCAAGGTTTTTCACTTTCTAAAAACAGTATATTTTTGAAAGTTCGAGAGTTCTCTGAAAATCTCAAATTTTTTAGTAGAATTTGAGTCGAGTTACTGAAGCCTTGTACATATGATTTGAAATACAGATCCAGACATCCTGCAAGATTCCCGGAAGTTAAGTCAGTTCCTAGAATCGTTTCCGTGCGAAGTTTTCAAGATAAATGTTGAGTAAACACAACCAACGAAGCTAATTTATCTTATATTTTTTATTTTTTGTTTATTCTTTGGTTTTAACTAGACGGAAAAAAATTAGGGTTACACACTCGCTAGTAATTAAAGAAAGAGGATTATTAGTGAAATTACACATGTCTCAAAACAGATGATTCAACTGAAAATGGTGAATAAAAACAGGGAGTCAACCATACCTCCATAAGTTTTATTAAAAATAGATTTTTATTCAGATGAGCTTTGAATGATTCCTAGAACTCATAATGTTTTTCAAAAACAACCTTTGATTTCTGTCCCTCTATCCTATAGGCGTCCCTATTGTTTGGTTATAAAGCCACAGTTCTGCTTCTTTTCATATTCCTCGTTTTCATCCATCACACAACAAAATCTAATTATTCTAAGAACGGAAAATTGAAGAGAAGACGTGAGAAGTCTCTTGAAGAAAAATGAAGAAAAATCCATCGTTTAGAGACCACCATCTCTCCAAAAAAACCTTTTTTGTCATCTGTTAATATGAACATTTTTCCTTTTTTTTCCAGCCTCCATTCCTATTAACATTTTGTCTGGTGGTCTCATTACAATTCAGTCGTTTTTCTATAGAGCTCTCTCCCAAAGAGTCATCGGAATGCAATCCTTTTTTTGACAAAGGGACACGCGAATCGCCTCTTTCCGATGGAGATTTTGAGCTTCATTCATCCTATGCCTCGACTTTCCACTCAGGCATCATTTGCTTTCTGGAGAATCTACTCTTTCCTATTCCAAGTATTTTAAACTATCCTATGGTTTCAAACGACCCCACCATGCATTTTTATATTTTATGACTGGATTTGAGTCTTTTTGAATAACTCTGTATTCTCCCACGAAGAAGGAAGTGTCTTTTCACAAGATTTAGGGGGCGGTGATCATGTCATCAGTTATGCAAATTTTGAAAATATTATCATCCCTCTGATAATGAGCAAAAAATGATATTAAAAACAAAACGGAAGAGACCATATGTGGGGTGAATAGAATTTTTGATTACTATTAGGGGAATATTTTCAGGACGACTCTGCTCCACCGCACTGGTAAAATGGCAGAGTTTTTTGAGTCCTGGAAACCTAGTCCCCCGCGACTTTTGGCGGGCGTGGGCGGCGGTATTTGAATTTTAAAACAATTTTTTGATCTATTTTCTTTAACAAAACTCCATTTTTCATAGTTAACTCCTCTAATACCACAACTAAAGATTCCCAAATGGAGGCTCCGACCTAAATTTTTTAATGCACTAAAATGTTTTGAAAGTTATGTACTTTCCTAATATTATTACGAAAAATGTCGAAAAAAAAACTGAAATCTCCGAAAAACGCCGATTAAAGTGAAAATTACTTTAAATGGTGACGAAAAGGGACGAGGGTTTGGATTCCCGCGCAATGAGAAACCAAGCCGACGGCTGCGGGACGCCTTTTTTGTGTCAATGATTTATGCGTTTTTACGTGCCAGTGATAAAACCGGAACAAATTAAGAAATTTTTCCCAGTGAATAAGGCGCCCCGGGGCCTTGGTTTCTCACTGCGCGGGAACTCAAATTCTCGACCCTATTTACCACTTTTTCTTTTTTCAACGGCATTTTTCGGGGATTTCAGATTTTTGTTGAATTTCGTTCGCAATAATCAAGAAAATACATATTTTTAAAAAATTGTATTGCAATAAAAAAATTCGGTCGGAGCCCACAAAAAAGTTTGGGCATTATCTGAAGAAAAAACAGCCAGACATCACATCGTCTCCTCTAGACAATTTCCTCATCATCAGCTCAGATCAGATCAAATCAGATCAAAAAATAACCAGGTCAGAAAAGAAGACGCACAGGGGTTAACGCCCATCTCAGCTGTCGTGTTCATCTGAAAACATTGGTGTCTACCTCCTCATTGACGACTATAAATATGTACACGCTCCTCCTACTCCATCTCCCTTTTTGCTCTTTTTTTTGCTCCAAGAATCCACAACCTCGTCACCTCATTCCAGCTATCCAATCCCATCCGTTTTTTCATCCACTCGATTTTCTTCCAAGAAATCCATCATAAAAACCCACGTGTATCCGATGGGTATAGATGACTTCCTATATACAAAATGTCACAATCATTCATCCAATGCATGTATCACATTTTTTATGTTTCTAAATCTGGATGAAAAAAAGAGGAGGAAGGTCCCAAAAGTTCAACATCATCTGAATTAAAATCTAACTTAATCTGGTCTGACGTGAGTGTACATGTTGTGGGAGGCAATGTGCCGCTTCACTAATTTCAGTGAATCCTTGTCCCATTTTATTGGTGGAGGGAAATCCCATGTCAAGTCTCGTATTACGCTTTTTGTTTCTAGTTTTTCTTTGAGATTTTCATCCAGATTGTGCTCAAGTTGAATGGCTCATAATCTTGTTCCACCGAAACGATGTTTTTGTTTTTTTCAGTCATCTCGAATTTCATTTTTTTTTTCAAAATACAGTTCGTTGTACTTTTTTTAGAAAACAAGAAGACCCATCAAAATTTCGTTCCGTTTTCCTTTGACTTCTCAATAAATAATTCAATTAACATGGCAACTGACTGGCTCAAATAAAAAATGACAAAGAGAAAAACAATCCACAATGCCGCAATAAAATTAACCGATTTTCTCCGAACATTACGATTTTCCTTTTATTTAGTAAACCAGCAAGCTGGTGCGCCTTCAGCGCGATTCAATCATATTTTTCAAATGTTCGTCGCTTCGTTTCTCACTTTTTCTAAATAAAAGGGTCACGTAAATATACCGTAAAACCTCTAATAGAACGACACCCGGATCGTCCACTTTGAGCCTATATATCTCACTTCTTTTGAAAGGTATCAAAAAGTGGTTAACTAGTAAAATGTTTATCAGGATATCAGCAACATTTTACTAGTCAGCCACTTTTTGATATCTTTCACAGAAAATGAGATATATAGGCTCAAAGTGGACGATCCGGGTGTCGTTCTATTAGAGGTTTTACGGTATATGCATTTTTCTATTTTTTCAAAAGTCCACAGAAGGACACGAGGACGGACAGACGCCTCTAGCGTTTTATTAATAAGGAAGATATAAAAAACTTTGAAGGTGAAAAAAAAATAATTTTCTCGAAATTTTGTTTATAAGCCTCTTGAGGAGTTGAACTTGTCTGACGGCTATTGAAGGTGCGGCCCCGCTACCCACTGATCCACGGGAGCGAAGTTTGAACATCCGCCCGACGGTCGCTTTTGTCCCTTTCCTTTAAAAGTTCAAAAACTTCAAAAACACCGCCTCTCCATTCAACGAAAAAGAGCCCGACCGACAAAAGCAGCCCGTAAATGAAATTGAACACATTTTTGACCGGAAAAGGCCGACACCAAAACGATTTTCTTTCCTGTGCCACTCATAAATTCTGGCGAAATTCCATTTTGTCCTCGTTTCGTTCCAGAAGAAAACCTCTTACTCTCTCTCTCTCTCCAGAGACTAAGGAATTCAGCGGCGGTCTTTGGATTGGTTGCTGTAATTAATTGTGGTTTATTCCCCTCTCGTTTTTTTCTCATTTTTCATTTATCGGACAAGTTGGATGTTTACAACATACTTGTGTTTTGGTAGTTTTCTTCGAATCATTTTTTTGGGTTTTTCATGATTTTTCTCAAAATAGCAAACATGGGAATTCAAAGAAACGTTTCGAAAAACAATGTGTCATGATTCTGATAATTAGTATAATGAATAATAGTTTCATATGTATCTCTGGGCTTTAAAAAAATGCGTCATAATTTTTTGACATCTAGTCATCAGTATATTGAAAACTCTGTTGATTTTCCCACACACCACACCTCCTTATTCATGATCTGAAACCCATGTCACATTGTATTCCTATCCAATTCCGTCTCGAATTTCCAATCCAATCGTACCATTGGACGATTATTTTTTTTTCAGAGTCAGTCAGCTTCAAACACACATGTTCATATTAGTTTACCCATCCTATTCTCCTTTCTCTTCTCAATTTTCGTAGAAGCTCTTTTGCTTCTCTTTTCTCGTTTTTTTCGTGAGGCGTCGACAACAAAAAAAAACATTTTTTTATTTACAGAAGTGTGAAAAAAGCGACAGAGACACTTTCTCACTAAAATTGCAGACTCTGGAACAAAAAACTGGCTGAAATTCGATGTGAACTGCGAGAAGATACGGAGACAAAAGTTTACGAAGACATCGACTTCATTGAAGACAAAAACAAATTATTTTTCCGGTGATTTTTTAAATCTAGCTTCCAAACTAAAAAGCTGATCAAATATACAAGTAGCTTGTATTTTTTTGCAATTCTGACCCCTTTTGATTAGCACTATAATTTATGTCTCTTAAAAGTTCAAAAACTAGCCCTAACAACAAAACACAACCCCTCACAATCCTTCCTAACCCAAATAATAAATCATTTTCAGATGTTATCAGCAGCAATCGTGGAGCACGCAGCTCTTGGCTTCGCCTTCGCCGTCCTTTCCCTTTTTGTTCTTGCCTTTGCGGTCATTGCAGTCGTTCTCCTGACGATTTCTCACTCATGTTGGTATAGATGTGGTTGGTTTCCATATTCAGTTCATTTAGTAGGAATTGTGTAAATTATTGTCAAGTGATCACTAACTAACTCTCGTATTGTTCGTCACACAATCTTGCCAATCATTCACTGCTTAACAAAAAAAAAACACTCAAAACTTAGGCCGATTTTTAGTTTCAGATGCAGAAGGAGATCCATTGATGGAGGACTACAACACTCTATTTTCGGAAGCAAATGTGGAAACGGGCGAACCAATCGAAACAGTTGTTGGATATACACCAAAGCATGCTGATATTGTGTGATCTCTTCATATTGTTTGGGATTCTTTGATTTCTTTTTTTTTGGAAAACTGAATAAACATATTTGAAATGTGTTGCAATTAAAAAAATTTTACGGAAAGGAAGGGAGAAATTAGCCAGTCAAGGATACCGTAAACCTTTAATAGAAGGGCAATTTTTAATTTTGAGTCCATTTATCTCAGTTACTGTCAAAGAAATCAACACATTGTCAACTGGTAAATTGCTTATCATATTATTAAGAACAATGTATCAGTTGACAACTTTTTCATATCCTTGACAGAAACCGGAAGAAATTGGCTCCATTATTACAAATGATTTATTCGCCCAATGGAATGAACAAACCACGGACTTCAAGATCCGAGGCCAGTTGTAACTAATATCTCTAACCTCAATATAACATCCGATAATAAAATATTTCTGTGAATTAGCATACAAAGAGAAAGAAGTCAGTCGGTTCCTTCAGGAAAATTGATATAAGAGAGATCAAATTTTTAAAGATTCACGTTTGAGTGAAAATAATCAGAAAAGGAAAATTCAATAAGAATTCACACATTAAAAACTCCGATAACAAAAAAAGCATTTTTCGATAGGAAAAATCTGGGTTTTCATGGAAAATCCAAATTTTTAAAGTTTATTTTTACAAGATTCAAGTCGCGCACATTAAATAGAATTGAATGATCAATTCAAGTTCTGTAATGTTCGAATCGGTTATTTGAAACTCCAACTTTGCCATCGAGCGCACTGTCCATTGCAATCCGAATCTCATCTCTATTCCCACGGTCTTCGGGAGCTTCCGACCAACACATATTCAGCATAATGTTAAGAACAAATGTCGGCATTAGATCAGGAGCATCCATTCAAATATCCATTCTTCACTTTTCGTCTCACTTCTGCCAATTTCAATCCGGGGTAAGGAATCGCACCGTCCATGAGAATCTGAAAGGGCTCGAGTATCTCCATCAACATGAATGCATTCATCGTGACATGGCAATTCGAAACTTCCTAATGTTTCAAATCTGATGTTCACTC